ATGGGGGAGGGGAAGGAAAAAAAAAGAAAAAAAAAAGAGGTTAGGGTCGGAGAGAGAGCCAAAGCATAAGAGACTCTTAAAAACTGAGAACAAACTGAGGGTTGATGGGGGGTTGGAGGGAGGGAAGGGTAGGTGATGGGCATTGAAGAGGGCATCTTTTGGGATGAGCACTGGGTGTTGTATGGAAACTAATTTGAAAATAAATTTAATATAATAAAAAATTAAAAAAACAAACGAATTTAAATACATAAGTTTATTTTAAAAAAGAGGGAAAGTAAGAAGCATTGGCAAATACTTGGAAAAACTGGATCCCTTTTATATAGTTGGTGGGAATGGAAAATGGTGCAGCTACTGTGGAAAACAGTTTGCCACTTCTTCAAAAAGTTAAACATGGCATTTCCATATGACCCAGCAATTTCACTACTAGGTGAATACCAAGAAGAATTGTACACTCATTTTCACAGCATCAATATTCACAATAGCCAAAAGGTAGAAAATGCATAAATATCCATTAACAGATGAGTGCCTAATAAACAAATTGTGGTATATACATATAATACAATATTATTCAGCCTCAAAAATGAAGTACTGAAATATGCTATAATGTGGATGAACCTGGAAAACATGTTAAGTGAAAGAAGCCAGACACAAAAGACTATATATTGTATGATAACATTTATATGAAATATCTTGAATGGCTAAATCCATAGAAATAGAATGCAGATTGGTGGTTGCCAGGGGCTGCAGGACAGAGAGAATAACAAGCATGTGCTTAATGTTTACATGATTTTCTTCTGGGGTGATGAAAATTTTTTAGATTTATGTAGAGGTGGTCGTTTCCCAACATTGTGAATGTATTGAATGCCACTGAATTGTTCACTTTAAACTGGTTAATTTTATGTATCACTTCAGTTAAAAAGAAATGTTTTAAAAAGGGTTTAACAGAATAACCCTATGACTTAGCATTTCTACCCATAAATATCTCCCCAAGAGAAATGGAAACCTATGTCCGCACAAAAATGTGTACAAAAAGTGCCTGTCTTTCAAAAGTGTCTCATTACATTTTCAGAAGTTTTTTTTTTGGGGGGGGGCAGAGAAAGGAATGAACAACCCTCAATGTATATGGAGCTTTACCATTTGCAAAGTGAATTTTTGTTCATTGTATTATTTACTTATTTCTTCCATAAACTTTCTAAGGTACGAAATTATTATCCCCATCTTACGAGGAAATATGTTACACAATCAGTTATTGGCAAGGCCAGGACTAAAACTCTGCTCATTTGATCCTAATCCTATGGACTTACCACTATTCCATGTTTAGAACTAAAAAATTGACTAAATCAACCTTACCTACACATAGTATATTAGTAACATGATTTTAATGTTTAAATGATGGATTATTGATATTAAATCCAACTGGTAATAACAGATGAGGCAAAACAGTCATGGGTGCATCAGTTTAATCAACCTAATAAGTATGTGGCTTTGAAGAATTTCTTCCTCTCATCAGTGTCTTAGGTGCTTCATCTGTAAAATGAAAAAAAATATATGATCTCTAAGGCTCTCCCATAATCCTGATATACCATGATTCTTTGTTGTTCTCCCAAACTTCTTTGGATTGGAACAAACTAGAGCATTTTTAGCTTGTTGCAGTTGAGTTATTGAAGAAGAGAGTTCTGACTTGGTTTCTAGATTAAACCATGTTCCAGTTCCCCATGAAATAATTTAGTGCACGTTAGGAGAAAAAAAATAGCAGTAACCAAGGGCAAAATCATAGAGAAATCTATTGAAATTTGTATTAGAGTGATATTTAGCATTGTTTTTTTTTTTACTTAAAAGTTTAAAAATTATTAGTGTAGAATGCTGCTAGCATAATTAACACATCGGCAATGAATGGAAATGCATGGTCATGGAAGTTAGTATTTTAGTAAGAGAGGTGGCATAGTGTATTGGCCTCATATTCAAGAATTCTGGTCCCAAATCTTAGCTTTTCCATTAACATTCAGGGTGGTTAAAAATTATGTTCAGGGGCTTTAGAATTCCCATCTATCAATCCACCTTGAGTAAATAATTTCTGAAGCCCTTTATAGCTCATCTATGACTCTGTGAGAATTCTCCTTTCTATCTGCTTTCAGTAATCCAAGAAATTGTTTTTCATACAATTTATTGACCTATTTCCTAGAAATCAAATTAGGCTAATCACAGCTAAGAGTCTCACAGTGAAAGTTGAAGGATAATGAGAAAGTGGTGTGCACAAAATCAGTTGAGCCTCTCTCTCCACAGCCCATGTAAGACCAATTCAGAATATTGGTGTATTGAACTGTCACCTGAAGGTTGCCTGTATTTATCTCTTTAGCATATTAATGCCAGTTTGTTATCTCTGTGCTATAGTTCCCTTATCCCCCCCACCCCCTTCCCAGTAAGGTATTTGTATCACTTCTAGTGCTCTGTCCACTAAACCAGACAATCATCTCTACTTTTCACTGGGTTCCAGTGCGTCTCTGGCCAAAGTTTTCTTTATGGGTTTTGGTTGATGGGTGTGCCAATATATTTGTTACTATTTGTATTTGAATAATGCATTCAAGTGCATGCAGTACTATTTCAAAAAAGAGAAAACAAACTTTGAATACTTCCACATATTAAACATTAAGCCTGACAATTTTAATATATTATTTAATGTTAATGCAATCTATCTGTGAAGTTATTTTAATTTGAAATATGAGAAAGCTATTAGAGGTGTTATATGACTTTCCTATGGTCACACTAAAAAATTCAAATACATGTCTCTAGACTTTTTAAGCTTAGGTCTCTTTTTCCTTCCATGTGTAACTATTTTATCATTTGATTCCCTCAGCAACCCTGTAATCAGGGAAAAGATTACTCACCTTGTTTTATCTTTATTATGCTCTATCACAGTACCCAAAGTAGAGGCACATAGTTGATTCTCAATAAAGATGTATTGAATAATTAAGTGAATTGAATTAGATTTATGAATTAAGGAAGTTGAGGTCCAAAATGACTTTTTCAAAGTTATCTGCTGGAGAATGGCAGTTTAGAGTGAGAACCATTCAATTTTGATGTTTCTATTCTGTAGATTTTTCTCAGGTCTTTTTAAAAATAAAATGAACTTTTCTTGCCACTAAGAATATATATTTGTGGGAAGACATACTGACTCTGTCTTATGACTCCTTCTCAACTATTATCTTATGTATGTATGTATGTATGTATGTATGTATTATTTATTTATTTATTTATTTATTTATTTAGAGAAAGAACAGAGGAGAGGGGCAGAAGGAGAAAGAGAGAATCTTAAGCAGACTCCATGCCCAATGTAGGGCTCGATCTCACTACTGTGAGATCATGACCTGAGCCAAAACCAAGATTTGGTTGCTCAACTGACTGAGCCACCCGGGTGCCCTTCTTATCGATTTGACTAATTGGATGCTAGGAACAGTTATGCCTATTAATGGAAACCTTCTGGGTCCAAGGTAGGAATGGTGAAAACAGACTTAAGGAGATACAGTATTGTATCTTGCTTCATTATCTACTTTAATTCATGAATACAGCTGGCAGTAGAATCCAGGATTTCTGACTCCTAGTTTATTAGTTGATTCTACACCATGCTTTTTGATCCTTGGCAACAGCCATCTCTTTAGTTATATCCCCTTTTCTCTTAAACTACCCAGAGAGTTTCATTTTTAGTCCTGTCAAACCACAACAAGACCCTCCTCATAAAGTGAGAGTATCAGTAAACCTGGGCCTGAGTAGGTGGTTGGCAAAGTGCCTAGTGTTTGGAAAGGTTTACAGAAGGCATCCAAACTGGAGAAGCAGGAGGTAGCTGAGGGTCACTCGAAAATCAGAAAACTTGGATTCTAGTCCTATTTCTGCCTTTCAAATTTCAAATTTGTGGGCAAATTTGATGGTCCCCTCTTTGAGCTTATTTCTCCATGTATAAAATGAGCAAAATTAAGGAATCTCTTAAGAGTCCCGGTAGCTTTAACATTTAATGGAGTACTATTGTTTTGTTACCCTATCTCCATAAGGTGGTGGGTAGGTAGAATAAACACACTCCAACAGTCTGATTCTATTATTCTGTGAACTTATGCTTTTCTCAGCCAGAAGTGGGGTAAGTTTTTTGTAACACAATTTTTCTTTTTTAACTTTGAGGACTGTTCGTTCATGTACCAAAATTTGATGTATAACTTTATGCCACCGACTGTTCCCCAGAACATTGTATTAACAATTTCTGCTTGCATTTCTCCACTGTTGAGTTGGGGCTGGAGCACATGTTTGATAAATCTCTTGTCAATGCTATAGTAAGAGTTCAAGTATAGTGACCACTGTCTGCCTTTTACACAGGTAATCATTATAGCAAGTAGGAAGTGCTGATTTGGTTAAGATACAGGGCTATTTAGTTGGCCCAGTCTATTGATTGAAATTGTTTTAAACTGTTTACACATGCAAGTGTTTCCTATTAACTATTATTTTCCATCTCTGTTTCTTCCACTGTCGCAGGCTCTCTCCTAAGCACGCCCCGGATATTCCTGATGACAGCACTGACAACATCACTATATTTACCAGAATCTTAGATCGTCTTCTAGATGGCTATGACAACCGGCTGCGACCTGGTCTTGGAGGTCAGTTACTATTTTAAGATCCCTTTCTTGGCTATTGTCATCTAAAAAGAAAGATTCTTAAGGTAACTTCAGCACTCCCTTGACCAATGGGTTTAGTGTAAAGTTAAGTTTCTTCCCTCTGAGCAGTAGAAATTAGTTCTAACCTTTCATTTCAATGGTCAATCTCTCTGGTATGGTTTTGGAAAATTCTGAATTTCACTTAGCTAAATGCATGTAATATACACTAATATTTGACAAAGCCCATTTCTGGTATCAAAAGACCAATCCCTGCCTAAATGGGAGGCTTGGCCCCGGCATATCTGGGAAACATACCTTTGCTCTCAAAACCCTCAGCACATGTCAGCCTGAACTTCCAATGAGGAGCAACCTGCTGCCTAGGTGGGATCTTGGTTGGCCATTAGTTTAGTATCATTAGCCATATGATCACAATGAGATAAATGCATCAGAGTACATCATGGGCTATACTTAAATGGCAAGTATGCAAATGTATGAGTTTGATTTTTTCCTGAACCATTTGAGAACTAGTTGCAGATATCGTACCCCTTTGTCCCTAAATACTTCAATGTGCTTTTCCTTAGAACAAATAAATTAATTTACAAAATTACAATGCAATTATAAATTCAGAAAATGTAACCTGACATTATACTGTGTTCTGATCTGTAGTTGATATTCAATTTTTGCCACTTGTCCCAAAAGTGTTCTATATAGCATTTTCCATTGATATAGGATTCAATCCAGGATTATGCATAGCATTTATTTTCACATATCTTCAGCCTATAATTTGGTATAATTTACTCAGATTTTCTTTGTATTTCATGGCATTAGATTTTCCTTATTCATTTTTAGAGGAAATACACAGATTTAATCATATCTTTCTTAGTGCATTTTTCCAAAAGGGATATGATGTCTATTTGGCCCATTATTGGTAATGTTCACTTTGATGTTCACGAAGTTATTCCAGTTTAAAATCACCTTTTTTTAAGTTTATAATCTATAAGTAATTTGTGAGGAAGTACTTTGAGATTATTATATTCCTAATTCAGGTTGCATGCAATCATTATAGTAACTATTAAATATTCTTACATGAATAATAACTGTTATGGTTGCAAATGGTGATTTTCTAAATGTATTATTCATCTATATTTATTAGATGGTATTCTATTGTAAGGAAAAAAACCCTTCTCTTTAATTAGGTAACTATTATCATCAATATATGGATTCATATTTTATTCAATGAATTGTAATCCATTAATATTATTCATTTTAATTAGAATTTATGTCCATAATTTTCCATATTTTTTTTTTTTATTTTTGGGACAGAGAGAGACAGAGCATGAATGGGGGAGGGGCAGAGAGAGAGGGAGACACAGAATCTGAAACAGGCTCCAGGCTCCGAGCCATCAGCCCAGAGCCTGACGCGGGGCTCGAACTCACAGACCGCGAGATCGTGACCTGGCTGAAGTCGGACGCTTAACCGACTGCGCCACCCAGGCGCCCCCATAATTTTCCATATTTGCCTAGCAGAAGCCTATTCAAGCTGGCTTCTGTTTCCTTTTGATCTGTTCTTCACATACTTGGGGCACCTTTTTACTTTTTGGCATAACAGTATATTCCATATTTATCTTGTAATTTTCCCTTATTCCCTTCCCAGGAAGCAGCCACTTTTTCCAAGAATACATGGCACATTTTTGTGGGAAATTACAGTATATTTAAAGTTCAACTTCTGAGTGCTAGGTGTATTCATTGCTAGTAGGGTGTCATTGCTTTTAGAAACTTTCATCAGACAGAATTAGAAAATAAAAAAATTAAAAATTTAATGTATATTCATATGTATTTACGTATATCTATATAATGTGTATATTGTGTGTGTGTGTATATAGACACACATAATATACACATATATACACATACCTGTATATATTTCTATATATACATACACACACATACATATGTACAAATATGTGTGTGTGCATGTATAATGAGTTTGTACTGATACCATTAAGTTCAGTTCAACACAGCATTCATTGATTTACTCATTTTCTCCGTCCTACAAAATACATAAAATGGTGTTGGAATTGCTATATCCATACCATTATAATAAACTCATTTATTAAGTAAAGTTGAAGATATGTTTGCAGTTTTTGTTGTTGTTGTTTTTAGATGAAGGATGTATGACACTTGCTTTGGTATAAATAATGATTGGATCAGGACAATATTCCTGAGGAATAGAAGACCAGTTACAAATCAATTGCAGTTGTCCAGGATGAAAGTGATGGCTGTGGGAATGTAGAGAATTTGGTGACTGATTAAATTATGGGGCTGGTAAAAGGAGGGAGAAAAAGATAACTTCTAGGTTGTGGCATGGATGACTGAGTGGTGCTACTTTCTACAATAAGGGACGTTGGAAGAGGGACAGTACTATTTTGTTTTATTCTGTTTCTTTTGAAGTGTGCTTGGAACAAAGAAAGCAGGGGAGTAGGTGGAAGTTAATTGGTTGTAGACATGTAGAATTTGACTACCCATGAAAAATATGGGTGGAGCTTTTGGCTTCTGGCTAACATAGAGTAACAGGGACCAGATTTACCTTTATCACTAGTTTTAAGCTATTTGATCATATCCCTTTGTGAAATTCTTTCATGCTTCTTATTTTTTAATGGTTTATTTATTTTTGAGAGAGAGAGAGATAGAAACAGAGTGAGAGTGGGGTAGGGGCAGAGAGAGAGGGAGACACAGAATCCAAAGCAGGATCCAAGCCCTAAGCTGTCAGCACAGAGCCCAATGTGGGGCTCAGACCCAGGAATTGCAAGATCATGACCTGAGCCAAAGTCGGACGCTTAACTGGCTGAGCCACCCAGGCACCCCTACTCATGTTTCTTATTTTTTGACCTTCTTGGTTTGAGAGAATTAAAACTTTTATCAAATTCAGAATGTTTTTGACCATTATTTTCAAATAAATTTTCTGCTCCCCTTCATATAAAGAGAACATCTTCAAAGCAAACAGAGTAAAACAAAACATTGTGGCTAAAATTAACAAGTTAGGAAATAACAAATGTTGGTGAGGATGTGGAGAAATAGAGACACTTCCACCCTGTTGGTAGGAATGCAAACTGGAGCAGCCACTCTGGAAGACAGTATGGAGATTCCTGCAAAGGTTAAAAATAGAACTACCCTAAGGAAACAGCAAATGTTGGTGGGGATGTGGAGAAACTACCCTGCTGGTGGGAATGCAAACTGGTACAGCCATTCTGGAAGACTGTATGGAAGTTCCTGAAAAGGTTAAAAATAGAACTACCCTTGACCCAGCAATTGCACTACTAGGTAGTTATCCAAAGGATATAAAAACACTGATTTAAAGGGGTACTTGCACCCCAGGGTTTATAGAAGCATTATCAACAATAGGTGAACTATGGAAAGAGCCCAAATTTCCATCAACTGATGAATGAATAAAGAAGATGTGGTATACAATAAAATATTACTCATCTATCAAAAGGAATGAAATCTTGCCATTTGCAATGAGTTGGGTGGAATTAGAGTGTATTATGCTAAGTGAAATAAGTCTGTCAGAAAAAGACAAATACCATATGATTTTACTCATATGTGGAGTTTAAGAAACAAAACAGGTGAACATAGGGGAAAAGAAGGAAAAATAAAATAAAAAAATAAAATAAAATAAAATAAAATGGCAGAGGGCAGCAAACCATAAAATACTGTTAACTATAGAGAACAAACTGAGGCTTGCTAGAGGGGATGTGGGTCGGGCAATGGGCTTAACTGGGTGATAGACATTAAGGAGGGCACTTGTTATGATGAACATTGGGTGTTGTATGTAGGTGATGAATCACTAAAGTCTATCCCTGAAACCAGTACTACACTTTATATAAAGTAACTTGAATTTAAGTAAAATATTGGAAGGAAAAATAAACATTATGTATAGAGGGACAATTTTGCTTCTTGTCAGAAATAAGCAAGCAAGAATGTAGTTAGTGACAGCTTTGAAGTACTGGAAAAAAACTGTCAATCTATAATTCTGTAACCAGAGTTAATGTACTTTAAACATATAGGCAAAATGAATACTTTTTCAGACACTAGAAGCTGAAAAATTCATCAGCATGTCTGTACTACAAGAAATGAATGTAATGTAAATGTAATGTAAATGTAAATGTAAATGAAAATGAAAATACATCAGGCAGAAGGAAAACAATGCCAGATAGAAATAAGGATCTATAGAAAGGAAGGAAGAGCAACACAAATAAAAAACTGTGTGGGTAAATATAAAGCAGTTTTTTCCCCAATCTATTTAAATGATAAATGACTAAAGCAAAAATAATGACAGCGTATTATGTGGCTTAAAATATATATATGAGGAAAATGTATGATAACAATAGCACAGAGGCCAGGAGAAAATGAAATAGAAATGTACTGTTGAAAGGTTTTTATACTGTACATGGCATGATATAATATTACTTGTTGGCAGATTGTGATAAGGAAGTGTGCTATAGAACTTAAAGAAAAATTATAGCTAATAAAGCAAAAAAGGTTATAAAAATGTAATAATAGAAATAGTTGGTTGATAAGGCAGAAAAAGAAGAAAATGTAACAAAAAGATGAAACAAATAGAAAAGTAAGAACAACCATATGAATCATCACATTAAATATAAATAATTTAAACATCCATTTTATTTTTAAATATTTATTTATTTTTAGAGAGAGAGAAAACGTGATCAGAGGGGCAGAGAGAGAGAAAGAGAGAGGGAGAAGCCCAAGCAGGTTCAGAACTGTCAGCGCAGATCCTGATGTGGGGCTCGAACCCATGAACTGTGAGATCATGACCTGAGCTAAAACCAAGAGTTAGACACTTAACCAACTGAATCACCTCAGCAGTCTTAAGCATCCATTTTTAAAGGCAGAGATGGTCAAATCGTATTTTTTAAAAATCAGGATGCAAAATTACTGAGAGAAACCCACCTTAAATATAAAGCTGTAAATAAAAGTAAAAGGAT